TTCAGCAATCCGACGAAGACTGGGTGGTTCATCAGCTCCGCGCTGACCACGAACCTCTCCATCTCCTCTCCGACGTACACGGGAACGTGTCCCGCTGGGACGGCGGCAGCGGCTGCGGCGCGTGAGTACGAAAGCGGCTGCGCGTGGGGTTTACGGCGGCGGCGGGAGGAGGACGAGAGGAGGTGGTGACGGTGCTCGGTGGGGGAAGAGTCGGCGACGCGAGAGAGGCGGCGGATCAGGTGCTTCATTGTTTTCTCCGGCGGAGAGAGAGAAAATTCAAAATGCTAGAGAGAGAGTGTGTCTATGGAGAGCAAATTTATAGAGAGAGAAAGTGGGCAGACATAGAAAGATGGTGATGGTACAGGTGGTACTTGCCAGGTACAACTGCTCATTCCTCATGAAAATAAAAATAAAAAACAACTGAATTTTTTAATTTGTGTAAAAAAACAATACTTGTTAATTTACGGTTTTATATTTATTTATAAATAAATAAGATCGTACATAACACTAATTAGTAACTCTATTTCAATTGTAACAATTATATTTTGTTTTTTTGGTAAATCAATTATATTTTTGTTCTAAGGGTGTAGTGGCAAATCTATTTATTAACTAAATACTGTATTAATTGATGGAAACTGACATTTAAGTTTTGTAAATATTATAAATGCATGCAGTCGGACGGACATTAATTAAATTGTTTGGCTATTCAACTACAATTTTAATGAAGTGATAATTAACAAGTTGGTATTTCGAAGAATGAATTCAGTGCGCATATAACAAATTTTAAAATTACAAATATTTTAAAACATAGAAAATAATTTAAAACTACAAATATTTCCAAACGGATGGAGTAAAAAATACTTTCTATTTCAAAATATTTGTAGGTTAATGTTATTTTTCATGTTTCAAAATATTTGTTATTCTACATTTTCAAGATTTTTTTTACAATAATTTTCAATTTTATTCTTACAAAATTCCAATACATTATTAATGATAATATTGTTTTATCGATATATATGACTCTTTTTTTTTAATCTAAAACAATAAATATTTTGATACAAAGTTTGTTAGATATTTTTAAAATTGTTTCGAATTTATTTTTATTTAAAAAAGCACAAATCTTTGTTATTCTGTTATCTTTTCGTATACTTTGATATTAAAAACCAGTACGTACGGTACATATGTGGATAACATACATGCATTAAACAAGGAACAAATGTACAAAAGCATCGACCATATCCATAGTCATCACTAGATAATTCGTGCACGACTTTGTTGACCCTTTGTTTTTGTCGAGGTAACTACAAAAATATGCTATACTTTAAATATATTATATTTACTATTTTTTTATTTATATATTTATTTATCCACTACATGCTTTTAAAAAAGTCATCATCCGCACTCTAATTTCTTTTATGCCATGTCCCAAGGAGAGTCCCAACTTTTTTTTTTTTGCTTTATACATAATTTCATGTATGAGATTTTATTTCTCTATTACTTGTACATATAAATATGAGTTTGGGATGTTTAATTAAAATGATGTAAGTTACTATCTCTGAGTTACACTGTAAAATCTATGGTGTTGACGGGTAGAATCGTAATAGCAATCACGACGATTGCGGACGTTTACAATGCGTTAACTGGCGATTCTAGACGATTAGTACTGATTGGTAGAAAAACTATTGTCGATAGCGACTGCGATTTAGAATGACTGGTTGACAGCGATTGCAATTGCAATTGCGTTACCACCAGTCACACCTTATATTAAAGACCCTTCTTAATCGCAAATCACTATTTTCCTAAAAAAAAAAAGATAGTTATCGCAATATAATAATAAATTATGTATAAACAAAACTAATAACATATAATTATATCTGTGTTAAATAAATTTAAAATATTTTAAAAATAAATATTTTTATTATAAAAAATAAATCAATCATATTTAAATATAAAATTCAAATAAATATATTTTCCGAAATATTTAAAAAACTAAAATTATTTTTTTCTCTATAGGAAATAAATTATTAGATATAAAATATTTAGAGTGTGTATGGAAAATAAATGATTGTGGATAAATATTCATAGTGTGTGTAGTATAGATCCTTTCATGATGGGGTATTTTTTTTTTAAAGAAAGGGTATCTTAAATTTAAAAAAAATAATGGAATATAAAATAAAAAAAGGATGTTCCAAGTGGGTGTACGGTCCATGTCCAAGCTCCACTCGTATTAATCATGACCCACCATCTCTCTCTCTCTTGCCGTACGCTTCACAAATTCATAAAAAGTATTCCGAATTCTTCAACTTTAATCAACCGACTTTGGTTTTATTCATTAGTTTATTCATAATCTATTTCAAATTTCAAATCTTTATTCTTATATCAAATACAACTATCCATAAAATATTTGGAAATTTTGATTATACCTAAGAATCTGTGGACATCACGTGTATGAAAAGATAAACATTGGTCGTATTTGATGTATTGTCCGAAATATTCAATTGGGCCCTTGGATTTGGCCCACATGAAATATTTTTATAATTGGGCGAGGGCGAAGTAAAAGCCCAAATTCATTAACCATTAAGCTATATATATATATATATATTATATGTATGAGTAATGGTACTTTAGCAACACTAATTATGGGTATTATAAGATGCTATATTGTGTTCCAATATACTAATATTGAATATAGCACCAAAAAAATAAGCGTGAAAGAAACTAATTACTATATAATATATCAAATTTTATTTAATTTAAAATTTTGGAGGGAAACCAATCGAATGAAAATTTAAAAAGACAAAAAGATTAAACAAATCGATAAAATTGTTTAGAAATGGACAAAGGCAAAGGGCTTCTGAATTTTTTTCCTCTGCAGCTCCTGGCAATCCGATGAATTCCTTAAAGCCCTAGTCTTTTTCGTGAGGATTTTCGACATTCGTTCAGGCTAAACCCTGGGAAGTTACACTTTTTCCGGAGAAATCCTTCGAGGTTTTCAGGTGGGCACATCGGAAATGCCGCGGCATGTTGAGGGAGGAGGAGATTCCGGGCCGGGTTTCGATCTCTCCGACGAGATTCTGTCAGCGATTCCGACGGACCCTTTTGCGCAGCTGGATCTCGCGAGGAAGATTACGTCCTTGGCGATAGCTTCGAGGGTGTCGAATCTGGAGGCCGAGGTGGTCGGGTTGAGACAGAAGCTGCTGGACAAGGAAAGGGGTATGCTTGAGCTCGAGGAGAAGATGTCACGCTTGGAGAGAGATTGCAGGGAGGCCGATACGAGGTTGAAGATCGTCCTTGACGACAATGTGAGCAATTTTCTTTCGATTTCTCCCTATCTTCCTTCTAAGACTGTGTCGGGGTTTCGGTTTTTGGTTGCGGATAGTGAAGTTAGGGCTTAGGGTATATTATCATTACTGTGTATGACAAGTTTGATTTCTGAGATTGAGATACGGAATGAATGAACTATGCCTTGGGGATAGTGAATTTGCTTGATATTTATACAGGAAATACCATCACTGAAACCAATGAATGTATGAGAGGTAATATTTTGGAAGGCCCATTGTCATGCTGATTTGAAGTTAGGGTTCTTGAGGGTTCAAAGTTAGACATTTGAAGGGGTATTGACTGGTTTCCACACTCTCTCTTACAGATTGACAGTATGTAACATACCTTGATTGTTTTGATTGATATCAGATCTCCTTAGTACTGCAGAGTGCAAAAGGGTTCATTCATGACACTGTTTCTAAATCTGGGAGCAACTAGTGTTGGTCTAGATTCTAGAATGTGATGCATTGGTGGTTTTAGAGAGTTGTAGAATGCTCTAGCTATCAGCTTGATTCCTGGAATGGTAGTTAGATTAGCTATTCGGGCTTGGATCGTGTGCAAGATTTCTGCTCATCTTTGAATGTACTGAATGAGAATATCCATGCAAGAATCATATGTATTTGAGTTTGAGCTCGAGATGGAGCGCAAACCGATTTTTCCTTTCCTCTGTTCTAGAACCTTGGATTCAAACTCGATTTCTGATGTATCGTCTTCCTTTCGATTTGAAGATGAAGCTGACAAAAGAACGAGATTCACTGGCAATGACTGTGAAGAAACTCAGTCGTGATTTTTCCAAGGTGAAGTTACAACCTTTCTCTATTTCAACAACTGCTTTTGTGATTCTGTATGCTCTGTTTTGTGAGAACACTCAAATCGTTTAATTTAGCAGGGAAAAGAGGATAATGTATCTGTTTTTTTCTCAGTTGGAGACATTCAAAAGGCAGTTGATCCAGTCGCTGAGTGATGAGAATGCATCTGTAAGAATTTTATGATTATCGGTTTTGGTCATCACACTTGATTCCTTTGTTGGATCAGTTTTTAGTATGCTTTCTTAAGGACATATTGCTTTGTCCGTGCCTCTTTTCTCTACCTTGCTCACTCACGGCCTCTATTTTGAGGCAAACCTTACATCTTCAGAGACTGTTCAAGAGACAAAAATGTAAATTTGCTTCTTCTCTAATGTTTTTTTACAGCAAATGGAGCCTGTTGATATTGGAACATGCGATCAGTCAGTTCCAGGATCCTATCCCGACAAGGGTATGGTATAGACAACAGATTTTATGTTTGGGAATTTGCGTGATCTTTCTTTTGCGTTTGTACAGTTGTATGAACTATTTATGGTTTACCATTTAGGTGAAAGGATCATTGGGCATTCATTACACCATTCTTACAATGGCTCTATCAACATGGCTAACCCAGTTGACGAAGGTGAACTACTGAATTATCGTCCCTTTCATCTCATGAGTTGTCCTTCTCGGTTATCATCTGTTTCCAAGTCTCCATACGTATTCTTTCTGTTGAATTCAGTCCAAAATGATTTCTGTGAATTCATACGGCGTGTAACTGTGGGCTTTACTTCATACTATATTGAACTCATGGTAAGATTTAAATTCACAGATTCAAGATATGCTGGACAGAAGTTTTCCATGACTCCTTACATCTCTCCCCGACTTACCCCGACGGGAACACCTAAGATTATCTCCACGAGCGTATCCCCGAGAGGTTATTCTGCTGCTGGATCTCCCAAGAAAACATCTTCTGGTGCAGTTTCTCCTACCGGGCCACATTATGAAGGGAAAGCAACGCCATTTTGGTACCCCTCGAGTCAGCAATCATCCGCGGCAAATTCTCCTCCCCGAGGAGGACGCCCACTTCCAGGTCGCAACTTTGTAACAGTTTTATTCATATCTGCATAAGCCCGGTTTCTCTCAGATGGTAGAACCATAAAGAAAGTATTTTGAGAACAATTCCGATATCAAAGAGGTTATTATATAAACTTATGCAGCTCGGACCCCTCGGATGGATGGCAAGGAATTCTTCCGGCAGGCAAGGTGAGTTCTTTCTGTTTGGTTGCATTGTTTCTTCATGCCGAGGTTCATCATAAACTGGGTTCTGTTCATCATCCAGGAGCCGACTATCATATGAACAGTTCAGTGCATTCTTGGCTAACATCAAAGAACTCAACGCACAAAAGCAAACCCGAGAGGTAAAAAAACATCGATCCCGTGCCATTTCTTCTCCATTCTATGCTGTCTGAAGGATTGTTCGGCGAATACCGATTACCGACGCTGTATACGCAATCTAAACGTCGATGTTTACCAGGAAACACTGAGGAAGGCGGAGGAGATATTCGGGAAAGAGAAGAACAAAGATCTCTACATATCTTTCCAAGCACTTCTGAACAGGAATGCTCGTTGAACTGATCAGAAACAGGGGTTTGGCTTCAAGTGATCTTGTCATGTCCCAGAGATTACCGCTACTGTGTATGTTTTGTTGCTATGTGAAGTGGCGTTTTGGATTCAACAAAGTTATAAAAACAGGCTAAGTTACTTTTATATATGCATATATAATCCCAATGGAACAGTTCTTTTTGTACAGCATTTTGCTTTTGTGGGAAAGCTATGCTATAAATAAAAGGAGACCCAAAATAAAGGGAATTAAAAAAAGGAAATAAATAAATCTCTCTTTTCTCATTTAGGGGGATACATAGATGTTGTATATAGATATTTGCTAGAGAGACAAATGTATTGAAGAGTATCTATATTCGTATTTATCTCTGTACTCTCATTATTTTTTCTTCAAAGTCGGCAGCAGCACCGATTTTTGTCGTGAAATTGCTTCTGAATCTTTTGTAGGATTCAGAAGACCGACAATTTTATAGGATTTTCCTTCTGAAGCTTTCACCGGAGAATCTTGCGCCATGGAAGAATTTCTTGAGGAATTCGGAGATTATTATGGTTACCCAGATGGTCCGAAGAACATCGACGAAATCCGCAAGACCGAATTCAAGAGATTAAATGAAGGTCTGTCTGATCTCCCAAGCTTTTTGTTTACTTCTGCAGGTGGTTTGAGTGTTGCGTTTTTTTCGGCTTTTTATTCCTCCATTAGCGCTCCAATTGTTCTCCAGGATCAGTTGAGCTTGTAAAAACGAGAGCCCATAAAAAGAAAAGAAAAAAATTCTCCGAAGTTGGAAACTTTGTCGGAAAAAAAAAGTTGGGTTCTCAGAAAAAAAAAGCGGCTGCATTCTTAGAGAAATGGCTAAACACTTGAAATGCTCCTAAAGTATCGAAATTTAGTAATGCGAGATTCTGATTTGCTTGATATGTATTTGGCACTGGTTAGTAGAATTCTGGGTTAAAGAGTTTCAACTCTGGATTTGGACTCCAGATTGTTAATACCCATAGAAACAGAACCAGGAACTCGTTGATCGAAATCAAGACAGCCTAGAATAAATCAAACCTTATTGTTGATGATGTAGTTAGGCTTGAGTAGTGGTTAATGTCCAAACTCATCTTCGAATTTGCTTCCAGTTTATTACATGTACTTGGTCAATCTGTTTTTTGTCCTGAAACCCCTGAGATTTGGAAGTTTATCCTTAACCTCTCTGTGGGGGTGTGCAGGTGTTGTGTATTTGGATCATGCAGGTGCTACTTTGTATTCTGAATTGCAGATGGAAAAGATATTCAAAGACTTCACTGGCAATGTTTACGGAAATCCACGTATGCTGGCTTTTCTCTCCTCATACGACATTTTCTAGTTCTTGTTAATTCAAAGAGAAAAGCATATATAGTAAGACTTGAGTTTTGGATTTCCGTTTTCTTATTGTGTTTGTGGCTTGAAGATGTCTTAGTCCGTTAAACTTTCGGTTTTCCCTGTCTTGTTCTGTTTGGAAAATTTAGATTTTGTTCGGTTTTTGTGAGTTTGTCCGTCTGAAAAAGGTTCCTTAATGGTTGTAGATAGTCAAAGTGATATCAGTTCAGCGACCAGTGACATCATAGCAGATGCTCGCCAAAAGGTACTTCAATCTTTACATTTTGAACAAATTACACATGGGATATTGGAAAACATACTTTGAGATCAACTTTCTCGGTAATGTTTCCCTGACGAATCAATCATATGGAGAAGAAGTAGCTCTTTTACTGCATCACACCACATATTTCTTCGTTTCCTATTATATGCTGGCATAGAATTATCCTGTAAAATGGTGAAATGCATCACTTCCATGATATATACCTCATCATTTCTTTCTATATGGTATTAACTTGCCTAGCACACCGGAGACAGGTACTTGAATATTTCAATGCATCTCCAAAGGACTATAGTTGCATATTTACTTCTGGTGCAACGGCAGCGCTGAAGCTTGTTGGAGAGACATTTCCATGGAGCAACCATAGTAGTTTTTTGTATACAAAGGAGAATCACAACAGTGTACTTGGAATCCGGGAGTATGCCCTAAGCCGAGGGGCTTCAGCATGTGCAGTAGATATCGAAACCACATGTTCAGGAACCTCTATCAATGCCAAGCATCATGCTCTGCTGAGGAGAAACACTTCTGGAATCCACGAGAACGAGTCTACAGGTTAATTCATCTTGACTATCTTCGGTTTGGACATTGTTTTTTCTCCTGTTGCAACTTGCAATATAGGGTTTAGGTTGAGTTAATAATGGATTTTGCTGGTTCCATTGTCGTACATTTCACTCTGTCATCTGGTTGCAGGTGATGCGTATAATCTGTTTGCTTTTCCCTCGGAGTGCAATTTCACGGGTTTGAGGTTCAACCTAGATTTGGTGAAGTTAATTAAGGAAAATCCGCAAAGTGCTCTACAAGGCTCTCCCTTTTGCAAGTACGTGAATTGGCTTAATTTTTTTTTCCCTCTATCCATTGTTTTCTTTTCTAATTCTCTCGCATTGGCAAAGCTGAATGCCTGTTTGCATATTTCTCAGCCTTGAGGACACAAGTACCTTATGCTACATGTCTCGTTCGATTTGATTTGATACTTCTCTTTTTGCCCGTCATTTTTAAGGAGCCAAAGATGGATGGTCTTGATAGATGCTGCAAAAGGGTCTGCTACACAGCCACCAGATTTATCGCAGTATCCTGCAGATTTTGTTGTCATGTCATTTTACAAGGTAGAAACTTGCTTTCTTCTGAATAGTAAATAATGAAGCTGTTCCATCATATCATATGGTGAAGTCTTGACGGGTTTCTGCTGTTTTTCTGAAGTTATTTGGTTACCCTACTGGGCTTGGTGCTCTCATAGTGCGAAATGGTATGTAATTCATTCTCCAGATATTTTTTTCATCCAATATTTTCTTATGACTAGGTTTTAATTCTTAAATATATCCTCGCACTCACCTCGCACTCACAGCTTGATATTACTAGTTTGAATACTGTGGTTTTGGAATTAAATATCCTTCCTTGTTACTGTCTACAGATGCTGCCAAATTGCTCAAGAAGATATACTTTAGCGGAGGTAGGTGACTATTTCTAGATTTATATTTTAAGTGGTACGATGTTATATGACCTTTAATAAACGAAATACTTACAGGCACTGTTGCTGCCTCAATTGCTGATATTGACTTCGTTAAAAGAAGGGAAAGGGTGGAGGAATTTTTTGAGGATGGTTCTGCTTCATTCTTGAGCATAGCTGCTGTGCGATATGGTTTTAAATTACTCAAGTCCCTTACCACAACTGCTATTTGGCTGTAAGTAGAACATATTCTTCCTTAAGGATTACTAGTCTTTGGAAAGATGATCAATAAATACTCTTTTTTGTAAAAAAAAAAAGTGTTTATCGATCATCCTACCCTTTTATATCTGATGGGCAGTCAAATATCGTTCATATTGGTTGATTCTTATGTATCATTCATCGCTTTTCAAATTATCTGGTGTCCTAAAAGCTAAAGCGTTCTCTATCTCTATCTCACAGACACACAAGTTCACTTGCCATATATGTGAAGAAGAAACTTCAAGCTTTACGACATGGAAATGGTACCGGTGTCTGTGTGCTGTATGGAAGTAAAAACTTGGAGGTTATTTCTTTCTTATTCATATTCATGTTTCATTTTCCATCAATTTTATGGATTCGTATATTCATGTAAGATTCTTTAACAAAAAGGATATACAAGGGGCATCAAGTGCCAAACAGCATCAATGGTTGAAGAGTTTGGATCTTTTTCAGTGCCATGACGTGATGAATTCATGTTGAGAATTCAAATATCTGATCCATTCCAAAATTTTATTTTCAGTCATCGTCGCATGAATCTGGTCCTACTGTTACATTCAACTTAAAGAGGCCCGACGACACTTGGGTTGGTTGCCGGGAGGTGGAAAAACTGGCTTCTTTATCCGGAATTCAGTTGCGGGTATGTTTTAGAGAAATGACAGTTTGCCTTTTGTATTATCCAAAAAAGAAAAAGAAAAGTGTATTCATCTCTTAAGCAAAACAATGACATTCAACTCTTTTTGAAGGGATGGTCTTTCATTTTATCGTAGTTCTCTGGAGATCCATTTTTCATTTTGATTCCTTTTGGTGTAGACAGGATGCTTTTGCAATCCCGGTGCATGTGCAAAGTATCTTGGATTGTCTCATACTGATCTTCTATCTAACTTAGAGGTACAGCACTTTTCCTTTTTGTTTTGCCAATTGTTACTTTTCATGACCTCGGGTTAAGGGATATACTTGGATATAATTGCCTCTATGTTCTGTACTCTGATTTAGGCTGGACATATTTGCTGGGATGACAATGATGTAATAAACGGGAAGCCAACTGGAGCTGTCAGGGTGTCGTTTGGTTACATGTCTACATTTGAAGAGGCCAAGGTAAATGTAGATTCCATGTAATATTAACCTGATGAAATGACCAATAACGTATTATTAGACCTTTATTTTCATTTTTTTAACATTTTTTTTAATTGGTGGTAGTCTGATTGAAAGTTGTTTCTGTTCGCAGAAACTTATTGATTTCATTATTGGTTCATTCGTTTCATCTTCGAGGAAATGTGAAAATGGATGTGCTGTTAGAGGCAGGTCTGCTCAAATTTCTGGTGAAGGCAGGTTCTTTGAAGCTTTTATTAGGCTTTTTAGCTTTTGTTGTCACATAAATAATCAGAAGCTAACAAATATCTTATAAATTGCTACCTCTTGATTGAATTCTTGTACATCGTTGCCTAAATCATTACAAAGTTTGTCTCGAAGTTAACTCGTAAGTAGAATCCCATGAAGCCAGGTGCTACATCAGTACCTTGTTCAGTCCTTTATATAGAAATTAAATTTCTCCTGACATAGCTGATTCTTCCTGTATTGTATATTTTATATTGAGTTCTGAGGACCCGACTTTTCGTTGAATTGCAGACCTTAGAAGAGAAGAATCTTTTCGTGCTTACTACCTGAAATCAATCACTATATACCCGATAAAGTCGTGTGCTGGATTCTCAGTTGATAGTTGGCCACTTTGCAGAACAGGTATTACACTTTTCTTGCTTCATTATACTCCGCCATAACTCAAATGACTGTTTTCTATCGTAATTCTCCGTAGAAAGTTTATAATGTGCTGAAATTTCTTGTTGGCTTCCTTGACATGCTCTTGAAAGCATCTTTCTAATGAATTAGCCTTTTGGTGTTCATAATTTGTTTGGAAGTTATTTTTTTGTTTATATTAACATCGGTTACACATAAAAGGCTTGCTGCACGATCGAGAATGGATGCTTCAGGGGCTCTCGGGTGATATTCTTACCCAGAAGAAGGTAAGTGGAACTCTCCATTCTGAGACCTTTAAACCCGTGGACGTGCTCAGCAAAATTTTGATTTTATTCGGCAATGCCTTATAGGTTCCCGAGATGTCTCTTATAGGCACGTTCATCGACCTCGACAAAGGAATACTATTTGTAGAGTCTTCTTGTTTCAAAGACAAGTTGCAGATCAGAGTTAAGCCAGATTCGTATTATTTGGGCAAAGACGAGATTGATTCGCATACCTACAGGTAATCTGCTGCAAACACTCGAGATCATGTTATTATCATCGAACTCGTGGCATGGGATACAATCTTTTTCATGTAAAAATATATAACCAGAGTTTTATTGCAGGCTTGAAGATCACGAAGATGAAACTGAAATCAATAACTGGTTCACCAAAGCTCTTGGCCGACCGTGCTCATTGTTACGGTGTTCTACCTCTACCTCCAAGTACTGCAGGACCCGGAATAGAACTCCCGGGTTTTGCAGAGCTTTGCAGAGTAATTTGAACTTTGCGAATGAAGCTCAGTTCTTGTTAATCTCCGAGGAAAGTGTTGCTGATCTCAACAGAAGACTAAATGCAAGTACGTTTTCACCTGTTTTTTTTACAGTAGCCATACTTCTTTGCTTCTCGGGATTTACTTCTTTCAAGTATCATATGGTGAATATACGTATTTCGGTTTCAGAAGATGAGAAACACCATGGAACTCATGGGAAAGTGGATCCATCTAGATTCAGACCTAATCTCATCGTATCCGGAGGCGAACCATACGCTGAAGATGGGTGGAGAACTCTTAGGATCGGAGACAATCATTTCTCGGTAAGATTCCTATCTTAGGTTTGCTAAATACTTCAACCCGATGTCTGTATAGCATTGCTTTCTTACATCTCTCGGGTATTCAAGTTTCATATATTTGCGGGTTTTCCGTTTTAATGCAGTCGTTAGGTGGTTGCAACCGATGCCAGATGATAAACCTATATCTTCAGGCCGGGCAAGTGAGGAGATCCAACGAGCCTTTGGCTACTCTGGCTTCATACAGGAGAGAAAAGGTTGGATTCTGACTGTTCTTGATTTTGAAAATCTCGGGCTTTTTCTTCGTATCTGAGGTAAAGTTCACATTTTTTTTTCTTCGCCGGGATCTCAGGGCAAGATCTTGTTTGGAACACTTCTGCAATGTGAGATTGATGATAAAGCAAGTCCAAGCTCACAGCCTTGGATCCGAGTCGGGCAAGAAGTTAGTCCAGATTCCGACTCGAGCCCTGTTTATACCGACGATCAGAACGAGAAACCCTGAGAGTAAGAATCCGACAGTGACGTTTTCTTACAGCAAAGTTTGAAGCTTTTTTTAACAGCTTCATATAGAAATGAAGAAATAAATGTAATGCTGAATGTAACTTCTCGGACTGGTTACAGCAGTGTTGTCGTTGTCGTTGTCGTTGTTTTCGTCACATGATGATCTGTTGCTCCCTTTGGTGAATAAAAGGAAGCTGGACTCAGATCATAACCGAGCTGGTATACTATTAACCGGAAATCGGTTCGGTTTGGTTAAGTTTTATGTAAAGGGAGTCGAACTGTGTTCTTTTTTACATTTTATCGCTGCCTGCCTCTCACTTCTCCGTTTCTCAGACTCTCTCGCTTTTCTCTCAGTCTTGGACTCTCGCGATTCACCTTCGCCGTCGCCGCCGTCGTCGCCTTCGCCATCGCGAGTCTCGACTCTCGAATCTCTCAGGCCTTCGCTGTCGCCTCTCTCTCTCAGTCTCGGACCCTCGAGCTTTGAATCTAGTCTCGCCCCCCTCTCTGACTCTCGCCATTCTCTCTCAGACTCTTGCCGCCGGTCTCGATCTCGCCCCTCTCTCTCTGTCTCGCTCACGCATCTCAGTCTCGGACTCTCGAGCTCTTTTTTCTAATTTAAAAAAATTATATGAAAATAATTAATTATTATCATGTTTTCAATTATAATCTTTATTTTGTTAGAATAACAAAGCATGTGAGAGAGAAATTTTTTTTTTTTAATAATGAAAAAAAAATGGTCTTAGGCCCAAAAGTAGAGATCTGCTAAAGCCCAATTCCAAATGGTTTCAGTTCGTTAATTTTCGCGTTGAAGATCTTTCCGAAGTGGCATCTTTCCTCTCGTACTCGGATACTTCCTCTCTTTCGTTCCCTCCAATCCGCCATTGTTTGGTTGTTGGAAGCTTGCCTTGTTCTGGATTAGGTTCTCGAGAAGGTAATGGATACTTCCGATGCCATATCTGTTTGATTTCTTCAGTTCTTTTTTTGTATTTTGTTTCCGCTGGATTCTGTGGCGATGGATGATCGATGGTCGTTGTCTTGGCCTTTGTTTATCTTTGATTGAACCATCTGGTGTTGGGGGTGGGGGAGATTTCTATGGAATCGACTGAATTTCGGATCTCTTGTTGAAGGTGGAAATCATAGGATTCGAATAGAAGTTTCCATTTCGTGATCTGGAAATTTGTGTCAGCAAGTTCGAAGATTGTAGGAGGTTGGCTGTTTTATGCAGTCGAACGTTTGCTGCTTAGATTGGTATTGGAATCTTTATTCGCTTCTGAGAACTGCTTCTCCGAGATGCTCATTTTGTTTTTCTGAGTTCGAGATTTTTGGTCTTGACCAATGAACTTTGACTTAGTGGTGACCCGCTCTTTCCTTGTGTGAGTAGTAGTCTAGGATTTGCATCCTGATCGCTGGAAAATCTTCTAAAGAGTCTTGGTTGGAAGAATAATCTGTCAATATTCATAGTGTTTAATCCATTTTTTTTAATGTTAGGGTTTGTATGAAGGCCTTTGCCTTTGGGTTGTCGTAACCATGTATGATGTTCCCATATTCATGTGGCTTAATCTTAGGGCTTTTATTTGTTTGTTTGGTTCATGTCGTGAAGCTCATTGCTTGTGTCCTGTCCTCTATGTACATTTTCCTGGGTCATTTATGTACATTACATAGAACGGGTACCTTTATGGTTGACATGCATCACCTTCTTCGTTAGACCGAAAAATATCTGCACACAAAGGGCGCTTGTGTTGTGGTTAAGGTTTTCACTGTATTTCTTACTGGATGTGCTCTGTTGAATGGACATTGTTTTGTTTTCTTGCCCTTATCGGTCCTATTTAATGTCTTTCTCCTTGAGGCTTGCTGAGTTTATCATAGTGCCTGACTTCAATGTTTCTATCGTGTTTATGGTCAGATGGCATTTCGCTGCTGGATAGCTTTATGTCTGGTGCTGTCATGCTTTATCAGTACTTCAGATGGTAGCGCTGGTGATGCTGACCCACATTACAGGTATCATTTTCGATGCCTTTAGGATTGTGTTCTTCAGATATGTGGAATAGGACTAACGTTTTCGCTAAAAATTATGAGCCTTCATGGTTTCATTATGCTACATGCTTGTCTGATAGAACTGTAGACCATTTCATGTCGTTTTCCTTTTTATGGTTCTCATGTTTGGTCCTTGAGTTCTAGCCTGAACTTGGTTTCTCTAATTGACAGTGTCAAGGTAGCTTTTTATGTTAGTAGCACTTGGTTTGTTAGCAGTATGAATGTCTAGCACTTTTGTCTCAGGGCTTGTGTTGCGGAGTGTGAGGAAAGTGGTTGTGTCAGACAACAGTGCTTTCCTCACTGCAATCTTTCATCAAATGGTGGCGCATGGTACATGCAAGAACCTCTATACTTGCAGTGGAAAAAATGGGGCTGCCAAGGTGATTGCCGCTATCACTGTATGATTCATAGAGAGGAAGAAAGGGAAATTCTTGGGCAAGTTCCAGTCAAGTATCATGGTAAATGGCCCTTCAAGCGTGTCTTTGGGATTCAGGTCAGACCTGTTGTTGCAGGCAAATTTACCTAAACAAATGCTTTTTCTCTTCAATCAATTTGGAATATTTCGGAATTTTTGGTGGAGCATGCAGTTTGATTTACCTGTTCGATGTTAGGAGCCTGCTTCTGTTGCTTTCTCTGTGCTCAATCTAGCGATGCATTTCCATGGCTGGCTTTCCTTTTTCATCATGCTGTACTATAAGTTGCCTCTGAGACAGGACAAGAAGGCATACTATGAGTATGCTTGTCTGTGGCATATCTATGGCCTCCTGTCCATGAACTCTTGGCTCTGGAGTGCTGTTTTCCACAGTCGGTAAGCATTTTCCTCTTTCCGTCCAGAAATATATGACTCTGTCAGTCTGTCTCATCAGAAAGAACAATTCTACAGGGACAGGGCTGTCTCTTTCACTTGACTTCAAAACCAGGCATTATGGCTGTACATGGATTTTTCCTCGGATATTGCTATAATCATGGGTCTACTTTTTGCCCTTTGTGGATCTCAGGGATGTTGAACTCACAGAGAAGGTAGACTACTCATCCGCAGTGGCATTGCTCGGGTTCTCTCTCATAGTATCCATTTTAAGGACCTTCAATGTACGGGACGAGGCTGCGAGGGTAATGGTGTCTGCTCCTATAGCAGCATTTGCAATCACCCACATTCTGTACCTCAACATCTACAAACTCGACTACGGTAACTGCCATTCCTTCCCTTCTCTTTTCAAATCACCGTCAATTATAATACTCGGTAACGATATGGTCCAAATACATTGAATATTTCCGGTATTTGACCCGTGTCCACACCCTGGATGGAACATGAATGCGTGTCGTGTTGGGGTGGCAGGATGGAACATGATAGTGTGCGTGGTGATAGGGGTGGCTCAGCTTCTACTGTGGGGGAGATGGGCCTTGGTGATGAGCCACCCGTCGAGATGGAAGCTCGGGGTTGTAGTGATCGGGGGAGGGATGGCTATGCTTCTTGAGATCTACGACTTCCCTCCTTATGCCGGCTTCTTCGACGCTCACTCCATATGGCACGCAGCCACCGTCCCCTTAACCTATCTGTGGTGGAGCTTCATCCGAGACGACGCCGTTTTCAGAACCTCCTCCCTCCTCAAGAACGCCAAGTCCAAGTCCAAGTCCAAGTAAATTTACTCTTGTTTGTTTTCTTTCACTCACTCGGAACTATCACTGAAAGCCACAAACCAAAGGCATGGGATAACAGGAGACTTGTGTGATGTGATTTTGTTACTTTAGATTTCATTTAAAAAATTATTTATTTTTAAAATATATTTTCATTTTATAAGTTTTGTTTCTAATTATTTTGATTTGATGAAATTATATTTAGATTAAGTTTGGTTTTAAATATGATAGTGTAATTTTGTTGATTCGGATTCATTAAAAAAAAATTATTGTTTAATATGTTTATCTTGTAGATTCTTTTTAATATTTTCTGTAGATGGTTTGGATTTTTTATTTAAATAGATAAATTTAAACAAATATAATAAACCCAGTTTTTCTATAACAAATCAAAATAATTATTTTTTATAACATTTTTTTCTTTTTTAAAAGAATTCATAATATTGAAAATTTTCAAAATATTATAATTAATTCTTATTTATGGCATAAAAGAAAAATTTTCTATTCTTTTTTGGTCGAATATAATTCTTTTTTTCATCTTTATGGGATAAAAGAGAAATTTTCTATTCTTTTTTGGTCGAATATATATTTTTTTTATATGTGTGAGTGAAACGTACCTTTTCTTTGTAATTCGAACAAGTATGTGACATTTCTTTTTGGAGGTATTTTTATATTGATATTTTAGAATTTTTAATTAAAGAAAAATAATTAACAAAGTCCAAAGTACCCTCACCATTTTAAGATTTTTTCTTTAAAAAAAAAAAGCAAACCCTAGTAGAGACGTTTGGCTTACGACTTCTTTTTGCTCATATATAATTTGCATGTGTATGCTTCTTCTCTCTTTGTTTTGTTTCTGGTTCCCGAAAGAGAGGTTTGTCTCCTCACTGCTCTCTCTCTCTCTCTCTCTCTCTCTCTCTCTCTCTCTCTTTCTCTCTCGTTCGTCGCTTTTCTCTTCAGGTCTGTTAACACTTTTTTTGTGATCGAGGTTACGTTTCCATGATTCTAGATTTTCTCTTCCGTCTTTGTTCTTTGAATTTTTTTTTTGAACGTTCTGATCTTTGATTTTTTAACCTTGATTGCGTGTTTTTTTCTTCCTGTTGTTGGTCTTGAATTGTGTTGTTCTCAATCCGCTAGTGAATTCCGGTGTTATGATCTCCGGTTTTTTGGTTTCTGGTGGTTTGTGTTTTGCTTCGATCTCGTGGGCTTCTTCCTCTTTTTCATTCACCGCGTTTCACCATGAATTGCTTTGCGAGTTTCAAATCGGTTCCTGGGTTTGTCCTTGATTGTGTTCATGTGTCCAGAATTGCGGCTTGCCTTTAGGAACGCGCTCTGGTCGTCTAAATTTTCCCTTTGGAAACTCCTCTTGTCATTGATTTTTCTCTCGTCGATTTTGTGTTCTTGTTCGCATGTTATTTGTTTCGTTGTCGAACTCTTTTTTCTCAAGTACCATAGTGAATTATCGTCATCATCTGATCATCGTTTTGCTTTGATCTCTTAGGTTGTAGGCTCCTAGTTTCCTTCTGTTTCCATCATAGATTGTGTTTGCTTCTCCTTTCTCAGTTTCGTCTCTCTGATCTGAAAGATTTGAAATTTAGATATTGTTTTAGGATGTATCATTTCTCATGACACCCATGATCTTTGACTGATTCGATTCTCTGATTCCTTCCATTGATTTAAGGTCATTTGTATTCTCATGAACGGAGTTTAGCCTCCTTACAATTGGTTTATGGGATGTGCATCCCCTATTATATCTAACCTTCATTGTTTACGCAATCATTGTAGGAATCAGCTTTTGTTGGTGATACTTGAAGTCCAGGCAAGATGGTAAGAGTTTCGGTTTTACTTATGCTGTACTGTTCAGTTTCCTACAAGCTCTTGAAGCAGCGGAAATTAATTGTTTTCGCCTGCGTTTTTATCCTTACAGGTGAAGTTCACGGCTGATGAGCTGCGGGCAATTATGGACAAGAAGAACAACATCCGTAATATGTCTGTCATTGCCCATGTTGATCACGGTATGAACTTTTACTTCTATTGGGACAATGTGCTGTGTGATTTGATGGTTCCTCAGTGATATGTCACGGTCAAGCTTGATGGGTGATCCATTTATGTTTCAGGGAAATCGACTCTGACTGATTCCCTTGTGGCTGCTGCGGGTATCATTGCCCAGGAAGTTGCTGGAGATGTTCGTATGACGGATACCCGTGCAGATGAAGCAGAGCGTGGTATTACCATCAAGTCCACTGGTATTTCGCTATACTATCAAATGAGCGATGAATCTCTGAAGAGCTACAAGGGTGAGAGAGATGGGAATGAGTACTTGATCAATCTCATCGACTCCCCCGGGCACGTTGACTTTTCATCCGAAGTCACAGCTGCTCTTCGTATCACTGATGGTGCCCTCGTGGTGGTTGACTGTATCGAGGGTGTCTGTGTGCAGACAGAGACTGTGCTCCGTCAAGCCCTCGGTGAGAGGATCCGACCCGTTTTGACTGTTAACAAGATGGACCGCTGTTTCCTCGAGCTTCAGGTTGATGGAGAAGAGGCTTACCAGACCTTCCAGAGGGTTATCGAGAATGCCAATGTTATCATGGCTACTTATGAAGATCCTCTCCTCGGGGATGTTCAGGTTTATCCTGAGAAAGGAACTGTTGCTTTCTCTGCTGGATTGCATGGTTGGGCCTTCACCCTCACCAACTTTGCCAAGATGTATGCCTCAAAGTTTGGTGTTGATGAGGCCAAGATGATGGAGAGACTCTGGGGTGAGAACTTCTTTGATCCCGCCACGAGGAAATGGACAACCAAGAACACTGGATCTGCGACTTGCAAGCGTGGTTTTGTCCAGTTCTGTTATGAACCCATTAAGCAGATCATTAACACCTGCATGAACGACCAGAAGGATAAGCTATGGCCCATGTTGCAGAAGCTCGGTGTCAGCATGAAGTCTGATGAGAAGGAACTGATGGGGAAACACCTGATGAAACGTGTGATGCAGAATTGGCTCCCAGCCAGTGATGCTCTCCTGGAAATGATGATTTTTCATCTTCCCTCGCCGTCCAAGGCCCAGAAGTACCGTGTCGAGAACTTGTACGAAGGTCCTCTTGATGACAAGTACGCTACCGCTATCAGGAACTGTGATCCCGAGGGTCCTCTCATGCTTTATGTGTCGAAGATGATTCCGGCATCTGACAAGGGAAGGTTCTTTGCTTTTGGGCGTGTGTTTTCCGGGAAAGTGGCAACGGGTATGAAGGTGAGGATTATGGGTCCTAACTACATTCCGGGTGAGAAGAAGGACTTGTACGTGAAGAGTGTGCAGAGGACTGTCATCTGGATGGGAAAGAGGCAAGAGACTGTGGAGGATGTTCCTTGCGGTAATACTGTGGCCATGGTCGGATTGGATCAATTCATCACCAAGAACGCAACTCTCACGAACGAGAAGGAAGTGGACGCTCACCCGATTCGGGCCATGAAATTCTCGGTGTCCCCTGTCGTCCGTGTGGCTGTCCAGTGTAAGGTCGCCTCCGACCTGCCAAAGCTTGTGGAAGGTCTGAAACGTTTGGCCAAATCCGACCCTATGGTTGTCTGCACGATTGAAGAATCCGGCGAGCATATCATTGCCGGAGCAGGAGAACTCCACCTGGAGATTTGTCTGAAGGATTTGCAGGACGATTTCATGGGAGGAGCCGAGATCATCAAGTCAGACCCCGTTGTCTCCTTCCGTGAGACTGTCCTCGAGAGATCCAGCAGGACCGTAATGAGCAAGTCCCCAAACAAGCACAACCGTCTCTACATGGAAGCACGACCATTGGAGGAAGGCCTTGGTGAAGCCATCGACGACGGCAGGATCGGTCCGAGGGATGACCCGAAGATCCGATCCAAGATCTTGGCCGAGGAGTTTGGCTGGGACAAGGACCTCGCCAAGAAAATCTGGGCATTCGGTCCAGAAACCACCGGACCGAACATGGTGGTGGACATGTGTAAGGGAGTCCAGTACTTGAACGAGATCAAGGACTCGGTCGTTGCGGGTTTCCAATGGGCATCAAAGGAAGGTCCTTTATGCGAGGAAAACATGAGAGGCATCTGCTTTGAGGTCTGTGACGTGGTCCTCCATGCCGACGCCATCCACAGAGGCGGTGGCCAGGTCATCCCGACAGCAAGACGAGTCATTTACGCTTCCCACCTGACCGCCAAGCCGAGACTCCTCGAGCCAGTCTACTTGGTGGAGATCCAAGCGCCCGAGCAAGCCCTCGGAGGAATCTACAGCGTCCTGAACCAGAAACGTGGGCACGTTTTCGAGGAGATGCAGAGGCCAGGAACTCCGCTCTACAACATCAAAGCGTATCTTCCGGTGATCGAGTCTTTCGGGTTTTCGGGGCAGCTGAGGGCGGCGACGTCGGGGCAGGCTTTCCCACAGGCGGTGTTTGATCATTGGGACATGATGTCGTCGGATCCGTTGGAGGTGGGGTCGCAGGCTTCGACCATTGTCGCGGAGATCAGGAAGAGGAAGGGCCTGAAGGAGCAGATGACCCCTCTCTCCGAGTTCGAGGACAAGATCTAAATCACAACACCTCTTTCTTCGTGGGTCGTCGTTTTCATCTGCCATGTTTACTTGTTTTTAGCTTTAAAGTACCTTTTTTTTAATTTCTTTTTAATTATTTGAGGCTTTTGCGAGTTCTACCTTGTTGCGGGGATTAATATAAAAATGGAATGATTATCATATTTTAAAAATCGGAAGGGCCTTGGTGATGAGCCACCCGTCGAGATGGAAGCTCGGGGTTGTAGTGATCGGGGGAGGGATGGCTATGCTTCTTGAGATCTACGACTTCCCTCCTTATGCCGGCTTCTTCGACGCCCACCCC